TGAGTACAGCAATGTAAGGTAGAAAAACAATACAGAGAAAAACAGAGATTATAGAAGAAACAAGTACGGGGAAGAAGAGGTGTGGTGTAAGGTGACCAGAGCATTTGATAAGGTGTCTGGATCATTTTTTGGGTGACCAGAGCCTTTTATAAGGTGACTGGAACATTTTGTAGGGTGACTGGAACATTTTGTAGGGTGACCAGAGCATTTTTTAGGGTGACCGGAGCATTTTGGAGGATACTGGGGCATTTTAAAAGGTGATTGGAACATTTTGTAGTGTGACTGGACCATTTTTTAGGTTGACCGTAGCATTTTAAAAGGTGGCTGGAATATTTTCTAGGGTGACCAGAGCATTTGATAAGGTGCCTCGAACATTTTGTAGGGTAACCAGAGTTTTTTGGTGGGGGGCCAGGGCATTTTGTTGGGTGACTGGAGTATTTTATAAGGTGACTCGAACATTTTGTAGGGTGACTGGAACATTTTGTAGGTTGAACAGGGCATTTTGTAGGGTGACCAGAGCATTTTATAAGGTGACTGGAACATTTTTTAGGGTGACCAGAGCATTTTTAGGGTGACCAGAGCATTTTGTAGGGTGACCGGAGCATTTTGTAGGATGACCGGAGCATTTTGTAGGAAACCGGAGCATTTTGTAAGATGACCTGATCATTTTGTATGGTGATCGGAGCATTTTGTTAGTTGACAGGAGCATTTGGTATGGTGAACAGAGCATTTTGTAGGATGACCGGAGCATTTTGTAGGGTGACCGGAGCATTTTGTAAGATGACCGGAGCATTTTGTAAGATGACCTGATCATTTTGTATGGTGATCAGAGCATTTTGTAGGGTGACCGGAGCATTTTGTAGGATGACCGGAGCATTTTGTAGGGTGACCAGAGCATTTTGTAAGATGACCGGAGCCTTTTGTAGGGTGACCGAGCATTTTTTAAGATGACCTTATCATTTTGTAGGATGACCGGAGCATTTTGTAGGGTGACCGGAGCATTTTGTAGGGTGACCGGAGCATTTTGTAGGATGACCGGAGCATTTTGTAGGGTGACCGGAGCATTTTGTAGGGTGACCGGAGCATTTTGTAGGATGACTGAAGCATTTTGTATGGTGATCGGTCTGATCATTTTGCATGGTGACCGGAGCATTTTGTAGGATGACCGGAGCCTTTTGTAGGGTGACCGAGCATTTTGTAAGATGACCTGATCATTTTGTAGGATGACCGGAGCATTTTGTAGGGTGACCGTTGCATTTTGTAGGGTGACCGGAGCATTTTGTAGGATGACCGGAGCATTTTGTAGGGTGACCGGAGCATTTTGTAGGGTGACCGGAGCATTTTGTAGGATGACTGAAGCATTTTGTATGGTGATCGGAGCATTTGTAGGGTGACCGGAGCATTTTGTAGTGTGACTGGAGCATTTTGTATGGTGATCGGAGCATTTTGTTAGTTGACAGGAGCATTTTGTAGGATGACCGGAGCATTTTGTAGGATTACCGGAGCATTTTGTAAGATAACCTGATCATTTTGTATGGTGATCGGAGCATTTTGTTAGTTGACAGGAACATTTTGTAGGATGACCAGAGCATTTTGTAGAATGAACGGAGCATTTTGTAAGATGACCTGATCATTCCGTATGGTGATCGGAGCATTTTGTTAGTTGACAGGAACATTTTATAGGATGACCAGAGCATTTTGTAGGATGACCGGAGCATTTTGTAGATGACCAGAGCATTTTGTAGGGTGACCGGAGAATTTTGTAGTATGACCAGAGCATTTTGTAGGATGACCGGAGCATTTTATAGGATGACCAGAGCTTTTTGTAGGATGAGCGGAGCATTTTGTAGATGACCAGAGCATTTTGTAGATGACAGGAGCATTTTTTAGGGTGACCAGAGCATTTTGTAGGATAAACAGAGCATTTTGTAGGATGACCAGAGCATTTTGTAGGATGACCAGAGCATTTTGTAGGATGACCAGAGCATTTTGTAGGATGACCAGAGCATTTTGTAGGATGACCAGAGCATTTTGTAGGATGACCAGAGCATTTTGTAGGATGACCAGAGCATTTTGTAGGATGACCAGAGCATTTTGTAGGATGACCAGAGCATTTTGTAGGATGACCAGAGCATTTTGTAGGATGACCAGAGCATTTTGTAGGATGACTGGAGCATTTTGTAGGATGACCAGAGCATTTTGTAGGATGACCAGAGCATTTTGTAGGATGACCAGAGCATTTTGTAGGATGACCAGAGCATTTTGTAAGATGATCAGAGCATTTTTTAGGATGACCAGAGTATTTTGTAGGATGACCAGAGCATTTTGTAGGATGACCAGAGCATTTTGTAGGCTGACCAGAGCATTTTGTAGGATGACCAGAGCATTTTGTAGGATGACCAGAGCATTTTGTAGGATGACCAGAGCATTTTGTAGGATGACCAGAGCATTTTGTAGGGTGACCAGAGCATTTTGTAGGATGACCAGAGCATTTTGTAGGATGACCGGAGCATTTTGTGGGATGACCAGAGCATTTTGTAGGATGACCAGAGCATTTTGTAGGATGACCGGAGCATTTTGTAGGGTGATCGGAGCATTTTGTTAGTTGACAGGAGCCTTTTGTATGGTGACCAGAGCATATTGTATGGTGATTGGAGCATTTTGTATGGTGACCAATGCATATTGTATGGTGATCGGAGCATTTTGCAAGATAACTTGTGTATTTTTGTAAGGTGGCCGAAGAATTTTGTAAGGTGACCAGAGTGTTCTATAGGGTGACTGGAGAATTTTTTAGGGTGACTGGAGCATTTCGTAGGGTGACCAGACCATTTGTAGGGTGACCAGAGCATTTGGTAGGTTGACCGGAACCGGCATTTTTTTAAATTTTTATTTAAGTTTTTTTTTTTAATTAGGACCGCCATATAAATTTTATCAAGGGTATCCAGGCAGAGATCCTTACGGTAATCGTTTCTCGAATTATTATTTGTTTAGTGGAAGACCACAGTTATTATATTACACGCTCTTAGCCCGCCAAAAAATGACGGCCGCAATGCGTGAGAATCTCATCTGCTAAAGTTTCTTGACAAAACATGCAATTAAGTCAGAGGTCCCCAAACTTTTTTGTCTCGTAGACCACTTGCCATGTTTTCCGGTTTTGGGTAGACCCCCCTGCTCACGTTATTTTGATTTTTTTGCAAATTCATTACAATTCATAATTTTGACAGCCGTTATAGTGCTACTCACCTTGAAAGATTTAAATTTATAACGGTAGTGAAGTGTGGTGTGAAAAACTTTTTAAAAAACATGTTAAGTTTGATAAATTTATTTATTAAATTCAAATTAAAACGAACCAAATTAAAATTTACTTTCTGTTACATATAATAACTCAGCAAAAAAATAAATCTAGCTAGCTAAAGAGTTGTCACAGATTACAGTTTACTGCGGAAAGATACTTTTTTTTCTTTTCTTCTTTTCTTTTTTTTTGTTTTTTACACAAAATAAAACCTTACGCGCAGAGAAAATAAAACGTACCTAGGGTGCAGATCTTGGTGGTAGTAGCAAATATTCAAACTGCTAGTTTATAATAATTCCTACACAATTTCATATATCAAAAATATACATAATAACTAAAATTTAATGTGTTCATTCGTCACGTTTCATGAACATTTATGTTTTTTTTTAAAAAAATTACTTCATTGTTACTTTTATAATTTAAGTAGGAAGACATGTCTTTTTTTATATAATAAGGTAATATTATGTAAGTAAATAGGTATTTCAGTATTAAACAGAAACTCGTCCCTCTCCCCCATAGACAGCGACGAGGCCATGACAGGCAATTCAGGCTCATACCAGCAAGAAGCCAGTATAGGAGCTGCTCATTCCTGCCCAAGACAATCAGGGACTGGAAC